CAGTATTTTGCATCAGACAACTTGTTTTTGCGATGCCATAACTTTATCAATATCCAAATATTCAGTATTACTCCCCACAGTTCGACCAGGTTTTCAGTTATCGTTTGATTTTTTTTTTTCAGTTTCATATAAGTACATATAGCCTTAATATTCATATTCGTATCTTGTGTATGCCAAGCCACGGTTGTGAGCGATCGGCCTTTTTCTTTTCAGTCATCGTTTTACTACATTTTCTTCATGTTTAGGACCACTGTCTTGTTGGAAGACGAATCTCTACTAAACAGGTCTTGTTCCCTTGGGAATATCATGGTGGGTAAGAATCTTCTTGTACCTATGGGAGTCAGGGTGCCGTAATGTTTTTGTAGATCTCCCACACCACTAGCAGAGATGCAGCCTATGCTTGTATTGCCCCCCCCCCTCCCATCTCCCGGCATGTTTCACCGTAAATGTTGTACACTGATTGCGACATTATTATTCTCGCTGTCATCAAACAAACTATTATTCCTTTTTGCCAAATGATTTTAATTTGGATTCGTCTGTAAATAACTCTCTACCCCAGCTATGCATATCCGATTGTTTGAAATGTGATGCCAATTTTAGCCTTTTGATTTGATCTCTGTTAAGCAGTGGCTTTTTTGACAGCTACACATCCATTGAGGCCAGTTCGTGCTAATGTGTATGTTAATAATCTGAAGGTAACATTCACATCTTTACTTAAAACTGGGTCAGTGGAAAGATCTCTACAGGATTTGCGTTTATTACTTAAAGAGCGTACCCTGAATAACTTAACATCAGTTTTGAAGAATTTGGCCTTCTCGACTGCTTCTATTATCAACAGAAACAGTTTCATGTATCATTTTTAGTTTTCAGATAGCTTCTACTGAAACAGAAAATTTCGATTTAAGCTATCGTGTGGAGTAGCATTCATCGCCAAAACACGTCTGTCACGTGGCTGGGAGTCATTGGTGCATCCACCACACTACTGCTGGGAATAGTATAACTGCTTGCATTTTTATATGCATTATACTCGTGTAGCACTACCTGATTGATTGGATGACAGCCAATAATAGTGTAATCTATCAATACATGACTGTACTTTGGTAAAATTAATTTTCGTACAGTAAAGGGGGAGCAATCTCATAATAATTACACTTTGATGCTCATTTTATTCACTGTCTCCATATTTATTACCGGTAATGTATGAGTGTTGAAAAAGGTCTTGAACTGATGTTTCTATGAAATCAAGGCATGTTTTTACTACATTTTCAAAGTTCTCTCTATGCCCATTTTCTATTGTACAGCTGTTTTTGAAATCAGCTTTACATGTCGAAGAACTTTGTAAATAATCCCAGTCTATATAGGCAGGTAGTGACGTAGATGTTTGTTATATCTTTTTTTCTGAGACTCTGATAAGCATGTTTTATCCTTCAGTATCCTGGCGTGCTTGAGATGTTAGTACATGGCGGTGCTGACCTCAGTGCAACAACAAAAAATGGAGAAACCCCTTTCGGTAAGAGAAGTATTGATTTCTTTCCCATAATTTTATTATCTTCGTTTGAATGATTGAAGGGTTAATAGTAAAAAGTCTAGTGTGAATACATTTCTTGATTAAGTCGCCTAAACGTTTAAAACTGTGGGCAAACAATGGGTAATTGTTTAGTCTCTAACTCCATGTTTATATGATTTTTATTCAAAAAATGTCTCGACCAACATTATCTATTCACTAAAATTGTATGCTAATTTTGTTGTTCACTGATATGTTATTGCTCATATTTGTTCACCAGTATGTGTTGTTACTGACTGTGATCGTTCACTAGCGCGTGTGTGTGTGTGTTGTTACTGACTGTGATCGTTCACTAGCGTGTGTGTGTGTGTTGTTACTGACTGTGATTGTTCACTAGCGTGTGTGTGTGTTGTTACTGACTGTGATTGTTCACCAGCAGTGTTGTTACTGCCTGTGACTATTCACCAGTTTGTGTTGTTACTGACTGTGACTGTTCACCAGTAGTGTTGTTACTGACTGTGACTATTCACCAGTTTGTGTTGTTACTGACTATGGCTGTTCACCAGTAGTGTTGTTACTGACTGTGACTATTCACCAGTAGTGTTGTTACTGACTATGGCTGTTCACCAGTATGTGTTGTTACTGACTATGGCTGTTCACCAGTGTGTGTTGTTGCTGACTATGGCTGTTCACCAGTGTGTGTTGTTGCTGACTATGGCTGTTCACCAGTGTGTGTTGTTGCTGACTATGGCTGTTCACCAGTATGTGTTGTTGCTGACTATGGCTGTTCATCAGTATGTGTTGTTACTGAATGTTGCTGTTCATCAGTATGTGTTATTACTATGGCTGTTCACCAGTTGTTGCTAACTATGGCTGTTCACCAGTGTGTGTATTTTTGACTGAGTCTGTTTATCAGTGACTTTTTATCTGTACTTGTCCATACACCAGTTATGTATACATTTTATTTGTTCGTCAATATGTACTGATTTCTTCGTTTATACATGTCTATTCATGCTTTTAACAACCAGTTACATAATGTTAATCTATTTATAGATGTGTTTGGTCGTCAAAGTATAACTGTGTGTATTTGTCTATGTGAGTGTCTATTTTATATATTTTTACACATATACTTACAAATGAGCATGCTTGCTGTATGTTTGTTTTTCTTCTTATATTCACTTGCAAAATAATATCCTAACCTGTGTAAATGCATATTTCAGGTTAACAAGTATTATAATACTTAATGTTTGTAAAATTATTCTTAACATTTTCAGTTAAATATGTTTACGAAAACACGTTAGGAACCCAAATGTGTTTATATTATTCTTTTTCTGGTTTTAGCTAGGTAAGAAAACTGAGTTTAATTACACTCTCTAAAGTAATTAAATGAACGTCTTGTTTTAGTAATAATGTGGCAAAATTGATAATTTCAAAACTTTGTAATTATTTTTTTGTAACAATACGTTTGGAGGAAACAAAAGCTTACAAACTGATTTAGATAACCAGACAGAACTGGTGTGATTTAAACATGAAAATTGGTGTTATTTAAGAGACATTATCTTGATAGATATTTGTGAAGATCCAGAGCTCAAAATGGTGTTAACCGAGCTGAAGACCCAGATGGAAACTGATAGTAAAACACACGTGCATGATATCAGACGATCACAAAGTCAGAATAGCAGAAGGTAAATAAAACAAGCTTCGCTGTAAAAAAAGTAGCATTTTATCTTACTGAAACAACTATAACAATAAAAACTATAACTACGAATTTCAAATGTTACTTTCACCAACTCTACCACGTTTTCTTAACTGTAACCCAACTTTGATAGTACGACTGATGATATCGTCAATTCTTACTACGTTTAACTGAAGCACAACCGTCGGCAAATCAACTCTAGCATATTGTTTTTCTATTTTTACTGATATATGTATTACACTTTTGGATATTATAACATAAGTTTTTGTTCTTCTCTAGTCAATCAGTTCGTCGGACTAGTATAAGAGATAAGAATAAGATCTCCCGAAGAGAAGCTTTAGAAGAAGCAATGTTATGGCAAGAAAAGGAAAAGACATCCGAAAACCACCAGGTGTGTATCTGTTGCAGTAACTACGTTATAACAAAAACTGTTTACTTATGTGGTGATATATGTGTAATAACCAGGTCTCTACGACTGTTCTAAAATCTTCAAAGCAACTACATTTTGGCAAATCGGTACAACTCGGTCATCTAACTTGTAGGTGTTGCTGCATTTCATTGAGAATAACGACAGCAACAATGCTGTAAGGCTTCAGTTGGTATACAATACAAATATATATATACGTTCAAAAGGTGTAGGTAGCTTTGAATATTGTTTTAACTAGGAGCAACCATACTGACTTGTTGTTTCCGTTTGTTATATGTTAACATAGTGTATCAATTTCAAATAACTATTATGATATTGTGTTTTAATCAGGTGTAACTTTTTACTAATATGATGTTTTAATCAGTTGTAACATTGTATTAATATGGTGTTTTAATCAGGTGTAACTTTGTACTAATATTGTGTTTTAATCAGTTGTAACATTGTATTAATATGGTGTTTTAATCAGGTGCAGGTTTGTAGTAATATAGTGTTTTAATTAGGTGTAACTTTGTATTGATATGGTGTTGTAAGTAGGTGTAAGTTTTACTAATGTAATATTTTAAATAGATGTAACTTTGTATTAATATGTTATTTCAATCAGATGTAACTTTGTGCTGATGTGGTGTTTTAATCAGGTGCAACTTTGCACTAATGTGGTGTTTTAATCTGGTGTAACGTTGCACTAATGTGGTGTTTTAATCTGGTGTAACGTTGCACTAATGTGGTGTTTTAATCTCGTGTAACGTTGCACTAATGTGATATTTTAATCAGGTGTAACTTTGTACTAATGTGGTGTTTTAATTAGATGTAACTTTGTATTGATGTGGTGTTTCAATTAGGTGTAACGTTGCACTAATGTGATATTTTAATCAGGTGTAACTTTGTACTAATGTGGTGTTTTAATTAGATGTAACTTTGTATTGATATGGTGTTTCAATTAGGTGTAACTTTATACTGATATGGTGTTTCAATTAGGTGTAACTTTTTGATAATATATTGAATTAATCACTTATACGTTTTTACTAATATGATGTTTTCATTTGGTGCAACTTTAATATGACATTTTCATATGGTGCAATGTTACATCGGATGGGACTTTGTGCTTAGGTGATAATTTCGTTATGCTAAACTTTGAACTTACAATATATGATATATTCAGTAAATAGAACTTTGCTCTAATATGGTGTTTTGATTTAATGTTACTTATTACCAACATGGTGTTTTAATCAGGTTAATATTATATCGACATGGTGTTTTAATCAGCTTTAACTTTATCATGTCATGGTGTTTTCAGTTAGTGCTAATTTATATCAACATGATGTTTTAATTAAGTTTAACTTTATACTAGCGTGTTTTAATCAGGTGTAATTTTATATTAACATGGTATTTTAATCATGTGTAACTTTATATTGACATGGTGTTTTAATCAAGTGTAACTTTTTATACTGACATGGTTTTTAATCATGTGTAACTTTATATTGACATGGTGTTTTAATCATGTATAACTTTATACTGACATGGTGTTTTAATCATGTGTAACTTTATATTGACATGTTGTTTTAAACAACAAACAAACAAAAACCAACAGCTTCTCATGCTGGAATAGTGCATTATTTGCCTAAAGATACCTGTAAGTTTGAATATATAATTATAAGATGTCAGGTTTTTTTTTTTTGGTAAAACTTTTTCAAGAATTTACGAATTTATTTTCAAATGCCTTTGGCATTTTTCAGATATCTAATTTATTGCAAAATTTTACAATCAATGGTAACGTGTATATGGAGTTTCTTTACATTAGCATTTAATTGAAAGAAACCGTTGATTTATAAAATGAGTGAGTTTTTCGCCTTCAGATTTGTAAATGGGTTGGCTAAACATGGTTCTCTTGTAAGCTTAGGTATTTTGCAGACAAAGGATTGTATTTTGTGTTTAATGGTTTCATTTATGATCACGTAAAGAGGTTTATTATTTGATCAAAACTTGCTCCTATATGGTTAATCTACTCTTGGAAAAAGAAATGGTTGAAAAAATTCCTGTTGGTTTTAGACAGTCTCATTATAGACAGTATGTTGAGGATACGTTCGCCATTTTTCATTCACAAAGTCATGTTAATGAATTCCGGCAATATTTAAACATTAAACACCCAAGGAAAAATTTTGCAATTGAATGTGAACATGAACCACTATAAATTTTTTTGGAAAGTTTAAGTTAGCAGTGTAGTTTTAAAATTGGTTTACATCATGAATTGAAGTTTTAGGATTATTTGCCAATTCTGTTTCTAAAGTACTTAAAGTTAACTTATTGTTTATTCCTATGAATTTTTATTACATGATAGTAAGGAGTTATACCTTATTATATGAAGAAATAACTCGTATTAAAAATTAATGAACTGAACAGTTACTTCATGGATAAAATGTAGAATAGACTGCACACCTAAATTCTTAAAATAAACCAATAATGACATTGTATGATGCGCAACAATCGCACTATTTTAAAATAAAGTAGTTATAAATCTAGGCACAGATAAGTATCAGAAGTTTATAGTATTTTGACACTTGTGTATAAAGTTAAAATCATAAATAATATTCAACGTTAAACTGGTACACAATTAAAAAAAAACATTTTATTTAGGATGACGTCGTAACGTCGAAACATGTAGAATCGTCAATATTTTGAACGCCATAGATAGGCCTAAATAAAATGTTTTTTTTTAATTGTGTACCAGTTTAACGTTGAATATTATTTATGATTTTAACTTTAT